TGTGGGTCAGGAACTCAGAATATGTCTGAGCAGCAGGTCCTCTGCTCAGAGTCTCACCAGGCTGCAGTCAAGGATTGGTTGGGGCTGTGGTCTCATCAGACGCTCGGCTGTGGAAGGACCTGCCTCCCAGCTCACTCAAAATGTTGGCAGAACCCATTTCCAGGGGTTAGAAGACTGAGGGCCTGGCTCCAGGGAGAGGCAACTATGGAGTCACCCTAGAGCCTGTCCACCAGTGTCTAATAATTTTGGTTTTCAGTTTGTGTTGAGTATCATTATGAACTTAGGTACCTAAACATTTTTGATGTTTCATCTGTGCTTACTTTTTGATTAAAGAATTCTTTGTTACCTGGTGCAATCTTCTTCCTTTTACCTTACCTTTTACCTTACTTCAAAAACAGATTTTTGTCCCCAAAACTTGTCCCCTACCACCTCCCTCTGGATGTGACATAAGCACTGTGGATGGTGCTATCTCTCTGCATTTCCCTGGAATGGTTCGTAACCTGCTTCCATTAGAATCACCTAAGGTGCTAATTAGAAGGGCAGGCATCCCCACTCTGACCCCCAAGAGTCAGCTCTTGTAAGTCTGGGGTGGAGGCCAGGCATCTGCTTCTTGCAGGAGCCACCCAGTCATTCTGATTCAGGCTAATATTTGAGAACCTCTGACAGAATAATCCCCAGTGTGAACATTCCTAAATGTTAGTCAGGAGGTTATGAAAAACATGTGACTGTTTTGTTGATATTTGTATCTTCAGTTCCACCAAAAAGACATGACCTTAGCTAGATCTAGTAGAATACTTATCTAATCAACCTTTCCTTTAGGAAGTTAACTCATGGGAGGTAGAACTAGTTTACTGTGAAATATCTTGGGGAGAAATGTGTCAGTTGTCACCTGCTAGCCTTCTCTCACACATAACTTCTGCTGTAAGCAGAAGAAAATGCATACTTTCTGCTAAGACTAGGTGTTGAATTCCACCATCAGAGAAAATCTCTGGTGAAGTCATTTTAAGAAAGGGAACAACAAGGCCAGAACGAGCTGTGCGATGGAGAGGGACCAGTGCTGCACTACAGATGGACCAAATCACGGCCCGAATCACTCTGAGAACTCCTGTCAGGGTGGAGGGGTTTGCCAGACTCAGTCTGGTCATTCCTCTGGAAGCAGTCTGTAAAGCTTCATCATTCTGTTAAGCGTTGCAATTATGTGTGCTATGGTTTCCAGGAGTCAAAAAGTAGCTTCGGCTGATTGCCAAGGGCAATTGTCTCCTCTCCCGGCAGGGTGTCAGTCTCCTTACTCACAAAGCGGTGCCGTCTCAGAAAGCCTTGAAACCACTGGGGAGTTCACAAGCCAACGGGACTTCCAGAGCTGGGCACACACACCTGTGGATAAAGCACTGTCAACGTGGGCAGGGTCAGCCAGCTTGGGCCAGGTTGGCAGGCAGGGCACTGGGGCTTCTGAAAGCCCTGGAAGCTTCTCTGTGCTCCCTGTACCTACTGTTCGCACCCCCACAGCTCCCAGTCTGCCCCTGAGATGTTGGGGCCTGAAGCAAGAGCACGATGAGAGACCTGTTTACTGCAGATTTAAATATTTAAAATTCTGAAGCCAAGCCAATAAACTGTTAAATAAAACACAATTTATCTGCTATCTTGACAAATATACCTGCCTAATGGCCTAGAAGCCCTGGAAGTCTGAAGTTAGGGCTCTCAGACTCCTCCACCTCCTGGTGGAACATGGCAGCTGGGGCAAAGTTCCTCCTTTGGCCCATGGCCGCCTCTCTGCTCCTCCTGCCTAGCTGTCTTGCACCTCGAGGAGTCTCATGTGCACATGCATGATAACCCAGCCTGCCTATGTGGGCAAACCTATCCCACAAACACCCTACAAACATCCAAGGCCACCCTTTGGGGTCAGGGTGCACACACCAAGGGCTGTTCCTTCCACAGGAGGACAGACCAGCCAGGAAAGAGCCCACCTAGCACTGGACATGTCAGGGATCCAGAGTGTGGTCTAGAGGCAGGGCTCACAGGTTCTGGGTGGATGCAGCCCTTAACTGTAGACTCCTTGTTCTTTGGGGAGACAGATAGCCAAAGCACAGCCCCCTAATTTGTGGGGTCCAGGACATAAAGGTATAAGGGTGAGCTTTATGAGCCTTACTTCTCAAAAATGAGTCAGGGAACAGGATCCTACCAGGCTGGCCATCACTCAACTTGGCTGAGGGGGTCAACTTTGTGAATAAGAGCAGAACCTTTCATCGAGGCAGTGTGCCTCCAAGATGTGAGGCCATCATTCCTGCACGATCTGGAGCTTTTCTACAATTTCCGGTGCTTAGGTTCTTTGAGTTTCTTTCTCACATCTGTAAATGGTGGGAATAATCCCCCCCTTTCATTATTCAGACGAAAGGATATAATGAGACCCTTTTAGCACAATGCCTGGCATGGAAGTTACAAACATCAGTAGCTTAAAAAAAAGTAGGAGGTGAAGTCTCCATCAGGGCAGAGGGGTAATGCTCTGGAAAGGGCTGGTCCCTGGGGAACCACCACCTGCCAAGAGTGGAAGGCATGTCTTCATTTGCTGGGGAAAGGAAGCAGCAGAAAGGGTTACCGGTAGGTGACCCCTGTGGGAGCTGGAGCCTCGTCCTGCTGGGGAACCTGGGAGTGGGTTGGTGCACACACCTCAGAGCTTTCCTCCTGGAGGGCCAAGCGAGCCAAGGTTATCACCGGCTGATGCCTTGGCACTTCTGGCCTGCCCTGAGCACAGAGGGGCTGGCGCATGCAGTTGGAGGTCAGGATGGCATGCGGTGAGGGAAAGTCGGGGGCACGAGGAGGGGCCCTGGCAGGATCGGCTACTCCACTGTCTTGTAGCAGTGATCCAGCCATCTGAGAAGAAACTTCCCTTTCTTGTGACGGAAAACACCTTTAACTCTCAGCTAGACTATTAGTCTATAAGTGGAACAAGTTCCCTGCTCTTCTGTGATGTTTAGAGGCCTGCTGACAGGCTTGATGTGGGGAGAGACGAGCACTTTCCTGCAACGTCCTCCTGAGTTAAGTCCCTGGGGCATTTCTTATGTGCTGAGGGAACAGAGGGCACGTGAGCTACAACCTCAGACTCTATCACTGGCTGGCCCTGAACCTCTCTGATCCTCAGTTCCTTGGTTATGAATGTGCAGAAAATACGGTTGACCTTTGAACAACATGGATTTGAACTGCATGGGCACACTTATAAAAGGATTTTTTTGATAAAAACAATACAATATTAAAAATGCATTTTCTTATCCTCATGCTTCTCTTTACATTTTCTTTCCTCTAGCTTGCTTTACTGTAAGAATACAGTGTATGATACATACAACATACAAAGTATGTGTTAATTGACTGTTATGTCATCAGTAAGGCTTCCAGTCAACAACAGGCTATTAGTAGTTATGTTTTGGATTATACGTGGATTATCCACGTGGGTAAGTTATATGTGGATTTTCCAACTATGCAGGGCATCATTGCCCCTAGCCCCTGTGCTATTCAAAGGTCAGCTGTAATGACTTAATATGTTTATTGTTGCTTAAGGAGATGTGAGCCCAAGAGAAGTTTCCATAGGGGAGGGGGTTTGCCTGCATGTGTACAAAGTTCAGGCCCAGGAAGTTCACTTCCTCTTTACTGTGTCTCTCTCCGCAGCCCACTTCTTCAAAGGTTCTGCCACATGCAACTCAAAATGTCATGGGACCAAGTCCCAGGGAGTGTGAGAGTAATATTTGGGAAGTAATGTTTGGGAGTTGTGATAGAATCAAAGATATCTGCCTTTTAGCCCCCACAACCTGTGAGTATCTTATGCTACATGGCAAGGGGAGATGAAGATTGCAGATGGATTTAAGGTTGCTGGTCAGCTGATCTTGAGATGGGGAGATATTTTGGATTATTCAGAAGGCCCAATGTGATCAAAAAGGTCCTTGTAAGTGAGGGAAGGAGGTAGGAAGTGAGGGAAGGAGGTAGGAGGCTGTCAGAATGAGGCAGCATGGGAAACACTCAAACCTCCAGTGTTGGCTGGGAAGACAGAAGGGGTCATGAACCAACGAATACAGGCAGCCTCTAGAAACTGGGAAAGGCAAGGAGATGGTTGTCCCAGGAGTCTCTAGGAGACACAGTCCTGCTGTCACCTGGATTTTAACCGCATGAGTCCTGTTTCAGACTTCTGAACTCCAACACTGTAAGATAACATATCTGTGTTATCTTGAGCAACTAAGTGGGTGTTTATTTGTTACAGTAGCCCTAGGGAGCTAATACAATGGTCTTTCTTTTAAAGATACTAGAATAATGGCAACTGTGTCCAGCTCCCCTCTTTAAAGCCAATGAAAAACAATAAGAAAAATGAATATCAGGAAACTCCATCTTCGAAGAAACTAAAGTACAAAGAACTCCAAAGCACAAGGTTGGAGACTAAATCACCAGCTATCAAATTCAGTGAAACACTCTGTGTGTGTGTGTGTGTGTGTGTGTATGCCAAAGGGAAGCGGTAAGCAAATAAAAACACTACTTTTTTTTAAAAAATAAAAAATGATGGCTACAATTAAAATAACATGGGTATTATCCAACTTATGCTGACTGCACATGTCTGTATGAGTAGATACCTAAACAGATTATGAAGGGGAAGCCACCAAATTATTAATAGAATGAAGGGGGGGAAATCAGAGGTGGAGAGGAACCATGAGAGATGATGGACTCTGAAAAACAAACTGAGGGTTCTAGAGGGGAGGGGGATGGGAGGATGGGTTAGCCTGGTGATGGGTATTAAAGAGGGCATGTTCTGCATGGAGCACTGGGTGTTATACGCAAACAATGAATCATGGAACACTACATCAAAAACTAATGATGTAATGTATGGTGATTAACATAACAATAAAAATTAAAAAAAATTATCTGCAGTTTTTACATACAAAAAAAACCCCCAACAAAACTATTTTTTTTAAAGATTTTATTTATTTATTTGACAGAGAGATAGAGAGAGAACACAAGTAGGCAGAGGGAGAGGGAGAAGCAGGCTCCCCGCAGAGCAGGGAGCCCGATGCGGGACTCGATCCCAGGACCCTGGGATCATGACCTGAGCCGAAGGCAGCCGCTTAACTGACTGAGCCACCCAGGCGCCCAACAAAACTATTTTTATAACAAGGAAATAAAAGGGAAGCACAAAGCACAAAAGTAAAAATGAGATGAAGAACTAACACAAAAAGCAGATGAAAATAAAGTAATTTTGAAAGTATATTTTATTTAAAACCATGTAAGCAAAATAGAATGGATGTTACCCTGGAAACATTCAGTATCTGCATTTTTCCCTATCTAGGAAAAAATACTTGTGACTTCAGAAGAAATAGAATATTTAAATAGACAAATTACCATGGAACAGTTGAGAATGTTACTGATAGTCTGTACCCCCCACCAAGGTCCAGATAATTTTTATGAAATGTGATGAAACCCTCAAATTGAAGTAATGGATAATTCCAATGTCATTTTAAATGTTCTAGGTTGATAAAAAGAGAGAGCCTCATAATTATTTTTATTTAGCACATATGATGCTAAGTCCTGAGAAAACACAAAAATAAAACAATAAACTAATCTTTTTATGATTATTAATGGAAACGTAAGTGAAAGACTAGCAAATATAGTCCAGGAATACATTAAAGAAACAAGAAACTCCACCATGTAGGGTTCCTCCGTGAAATGCGAGTGTGGGCCAAGTTAGGAAGTCAATTGCCATGCATACGACTTTATGTCAGACTCAGCAGAGCCTGAGGTGGGGATTCTTACGCAGGTGCTTTATCAGGGGAGCTGTTGGGAGAAAGCTTTAAGGGGCAGGAGCAGGTGGGGAGACCCAGAGTGAATAGGAGTTTCCTCTGGAGTTCAGCTTTGGTCTGATCTGCAGGGGGCTCTGGAGGGTGATTTGCACCCCTCCGCCTGCTCCAGCTGGAGGCCAGGGTTCTGATTATCTGTAACCAGTTCCAGCCCAGTGTGACTATGGGCTGTGTCCACCTCCAGGGGATCTGTGGGAAAAGGGCCCTGTGGTCTCAGGGCAATTCTCGGAGAGATGGCAACTGTGAGCCCGTAGCAGCCTGCACTCCCAGCAGCTAGCAGATGGGTGCACCCAGCTTGAATGCAGATCTCAAGTGGGGGGTCAGGAGTGGGGGCTCCACCTGCATCTCTTACCAAGTCAAAAGAGAAAAGACATACAATCCTTTCCATAGAGGTCAGCAAGGCATTCAATGAAATTCAACAAATTTCTGATTTTAAAAATCAACTGAATAAGATTAGATATTTGCTTCCACAACATGATAAAACTGTTGGTGATAAAAATGCATGCTTCGTGGTGAAATGCTAGTAACATTCCCATACAAGCCTCAAATATGTCAACTAATGTCACATCATAGAATGTATCTTGAGGTGCTATTTAGTGCAATTAACATAGGAGAAGTACTGACTTCAAAAATAGAGAGGGTGAATTATTAGGTTTGCAGACAGAATGTATTATGCATGAAAGAACAAAGAGAACTGAAAAATTATTTTAAATAATGGGCAGTTCAGTCAAGTGCCTAGCTACAAATTTAATTTGCAAAAATCAGTGACTTTTTAAAAACTGAAACCAGTCAGACAATAAAATGGAAAAAAAATATTCCATTTATGTTAGCAATAAAAAAAAAAGATTTAAAAAACACCGAAGAATAAAAATCACTTCTCTTGACAAAAACTTAAAACACCAAAGAGAAAAAAAAAATTAAGGCTATGACTACATGGAAAGATAATCTGTCTTCTGGGATTGAAAATCCTCACATGATCAACTTGAAACTCTTCTCCAATTGATCTATATGTGTATGGTTGTCTAGACAAAAATAGAAAGATAGTTCAGTTTCAACTAGATAAGCTGGTTTTTATCTATAAGGAGATCCTAGAAAAAAGGAAGAGTGAGGGAAATAAAAGGATCAAGTGGAGATTTAGGCACATAAAACTCAGATGTAAGCGTCACAGACTACAGAAGCATAAGCGATGTGGTGCTATGACGTATGAATAGACACAGGAGCCAAGGAAGACAACTGAGTGCAGAGGATACCTGAATAATATCAGAGTTTCATTTATGATAAAATGGAATTTCAAATAAATACAGCAGGAAGATTTGGTCAGTAAATGAAATTAATGAAATCTGGAATAACATTAAATGAAATCTCGTAACTTTCCATGTAGCAAAATATACTCCGGATGTAGCAACAACAACAAAAAGTTAGGTATAAAGTTAAACTGTGAACGACTGGAACAGGTAATCATTCTCTTATAGGTGTGGGATGGGAAAGGCTCTGTCCACACAAAATACAGATTCAGAAGCCATAAAGGACATAGGTAAAAAATTTAATTAGATTAAAAAATAGAGTTCTCTGGAAATAAAAATAACACCATAAATGAAGTCAAAAGGCAAATGGCAAACTGAGAAAAAAAATGCAGACATGTACACACACACACACACATCTCACAAAGGGTTAACTTTAGAGATATGTATTACATTTCAGTAAAAAAAACCCAAAAAAACCTTACCAAAATCTTAATAGGAGAATAAACTCCCTCCATCTACGCCCACCCCTCCAAAGAAATCAGTTTGCAGGGTCTGGTTAATGGCATGAGCTATGACTAAATTATTGAACACAGACTTGAATAAAAGTGCCAGAGCTGTAGGAGCTGATAAGGGACAATCTCCAAGGCATATTTCTAAGTGACAAAGTGTGCGCACGACAGGACTGCACATATATGGCTATGTTTCTATTTGAAGAGAAAACTGTGGAAGGATGTACTGGGAACTCTCCCTACTGGGAGCCTCTGGGAGGAAGCCTGAGCTCTGGAAGAGGAAGGCAACTAATTTCATTGTATTCTTGTAAATAGGGCTAGAATTTCAAATCACATACATATGTTCACATCCAATTTTTAAAACTCAGTAATTTTTCAGAAAGTCTGTGGGAAACACAGTGGCCACCAGCAGTTGCCCCACGCTGCCAACAGGACCCACACCGTCAGAGGAAGGTGGCCCCCGAAGGAGCCCAGTGTGAGCTGGTGAGGCCAAAGGAGGCCCTCGCATCAAACCGGAGCCATGCTGGCAGGCGCCTCTGGAAGGCCCCTCCAGCTCTCTGTCCTCTGAGCCGCGTCAGAGCAAGTTCACAGGAAACCGAGTCCCTGGTTACTCCCCACAGATCTGGCCTTGGGGGAGGCTTCTGGAAATCCTGCCATGGGCATTAGCCTTCCTGCTGGTGAGAAGGCAGACTTCTTGGGTCCCAGGGTAGGTGAGCAGCTTCCAGGAAGGAGAGAAAATGGCAGGAGCAGCCCCCTAGCAGGTGAAGGACTCACGGTGGACACACAGGGCAGCCAGCTAGCTGCGTCCTGAGCGGGAGGCTGAGCTCCACTCTCAGGACTGAGGTCCGGTGTCTGCCCAGGACCTCGTCGGTTCTTCCCCTGCAACCTGGAGTGTGCAATGCCCTGGTCAGGCACCTGAGTGGAAAGAATGTAAGTTAGTCTCTCTGCTTCCACCCCCATTTTTACTCCAAAGATGGGGCCTTTCTTCCAAATCTGTAGATACTGTTTCTCATCCTGGAGAAGACAGGTGTCTAAGCACAGCCTTTTCCCTGGTCAAAACCACATTATCCTTTAAAACCTAGTTTAGATCTAAGGTCTCCAAGACTTTTCTTGACACGCCTCCTTCCTATCTTCTCCCAGACTCTAGTTATATTGAAGTCAGGGGTAGGAGGAGGGCCTCTGGGGAATTTTAAAGACATCATGACCCAGACATAAGTAGATGCAGGGCTGGTCCCATGCAAAATGAGGAAGGAGCCAAAAGGTGTGCCACTTACCTGTCCTCTGCCTTCTGCTGGGAGGAAAGGCCCCTGGAGCTCAGAGCATCAGGGAGTTGGTAACTTGCTAAGGAAGGCCCAGTGAGAAAGATGAGTACCGAGCAGCATGCCTCTATGGTGATGCCTTTCAGATAATTCAGACAGAGGATTCAGAGTGGTGGGGCTTTCACCTCTGTTAAGTCATGTACAACAAAATCCAGAAACCACCCACATCTCGTCAATAGCAGAATAGATTTAAAAATCGTGGCGTAGGGGCGCCTGGGTGGCTCAGTCATTAAGCGTCTGCCTTCGGCTCAGGTCATGATCCCAGGGTCCTGGGATTGAGCCCCACATTGGGCTCCCTGCTCATCAGGAAGACTGCTTCTCCTTCTCCACTCCCCCTGCTTGTGTTCCTGCTCTCGCTCTTTCTGTCAAATAAATAAATAAAATCTTTAGAAAAAAAAATCCTGGCGTTATTCACCCAGGGGGACACTTAGCAAGGAAATGAAGACAGGCCATCTAGAACCACATGCAGTGTGGGGGAATCTCACCAAAATCTCACCAAAAACGCTGGGCAAAGAAGCCAGAGACAAAGGAGCACAGTTCGACGTGATTCCATAGATGAAACTGCCCACACTGATACGCTATCAGGGTCAAGAGAGATCACCCTTGAGGATGATAGTGTTTGAAGGGGTGCTGGGGATCCCAGGGCATAGGGATGTTCTTTTTCTTTACCTGAAGTGGGTTTGGTGAGTGAGTCCAGCTGCTGAAAACCCAACAGGCTCCTGAGTTATGATATGTATTCTTTCCTACAGGTAAATTATGCTTCAAGAAAAGGTGATAGTGTATGAAGGAAGGTACCCATTCTACCCTCCCAGGAAGCATCTCACCCATTCCATCCCCTACCCCCCACTGCAAAATTCACCCAGTACTTGTCTGAGTGGGGTTGGCACTGTGGATAGGAAAAACGGTGCTGATGTCATAGGCTTTCCTTGTTATTTTAGCTCGCCTTTCATTATTTTTTGTTCTTGCTTTAAATGAGCTCTTTTTTTTAAACTTCCTTCCTGGCATTTGAGTCATTTCCCAAGGTTTTTGTCTGCTTCAGATAAGGAACTTAATACCCAAGATGGATTGTAAGTTCTACACTTTGTTTCTCCAAGGGCCTTCTACCCAGATATAGGCATGAGTTTGGGAGAAAATCAGGTAGGAAATCAACAAGTAGAATTTGCAGCAGGGCAGGATTTTGTGTATGATCAACTTCATGGAATCTCCTGATATAGACAAAGAATCATGCTGTGTAGAGATGAAAGCTCACTTTTCATGACATGAAGGATCCTGTGACTCAGGGAAGGTACTTTCAATCTGCCCCCCATTTTCCAGCAATCCCAAGGGAAACATGAGTGCTTGGAGCTCCCAGAGCCAGTGAGGGCCAGACCTGGAGGAAGTCCTGGGTTTCTTGCCCCAGTGGTGCCTTCCTTTCCTGATCCACAATCCCAGTGTCAGCCTGGAATGGAATCTACATGAATGAATATACCCTCTGGTACGATGAGAAAAATCTCATGAGCTGGCATGATGGAGAAAAATCTCATGAGCTGGCATGATGGAGAAAAATCTCATGAGCTGGCATAATGGAGAAAATGAGACAGTTATTCCTTTACCATTGTTTGGTGATGGATAAAAAAACCACACCCCATTCCTAGCTTTTCCCCACTATAGTCTAAGGATTCCTGACAGTGTGGGATGTCCAAGCTGGCTTTCAATTTCCCTTTCCTGGCCCTCTGACCCTTGTCTGGCCGTCTACTGTCCCAGATTTCCTCTCCTGTAAGAGAGGTCCATTCCTGAGCTCGTTAAGAGTTACCCGCGCTCCACTGCTGGTGGATATGCTATGTGAATTGCAAAAATGTCATATAGATGTAAGAGGTCGGTATGGTGGAGGTCAGCAAACCATGGCCTGTGGACCAAATCCTGCCCACTGCCTGTTTTTATAAATAAAGTTTTATCAGAACACAGCCACGCCCATTTGCTTACATATTATAACTGCTTTCGAGCTACAAAGACAGAACTAAGCAGTTGTAACAGAGTCCGCATGGCCTGCAAAGCTAAAAATTTTCATTATCTGGCCCTTTATAAGAACCATTGGTGACCCCTGATATTATCATGATAGCTGAGTTATTTGTCTGTATTGTGTTAACATTTTAACAGAACCTTATGGAGATCATGGCAGCACAGGTGGGGCTGTTTTGCTGACAGCTGGGGCATCCTCATCGAATAATGGAGGTGACATTTCTCACTGGTCCTTCAGTGGCCCTCGAACACACTTTTGATGGCTTCCTGCACTTCCCATGCATGGGGTGGTCCCCTTCCTTCCCAGGGCCTGTAGCTTTGGTCTACCACAAAGCTTTGGGGCACCAGGAGACTAACTCTGGTCTTGGTTCAGAGACAGTGGTGGATGTTGGCGGGCCTGCGTGAGTGGATGTGGCTTCCCTGCAGCTAACAGGTGATGGGGCAACTTCCACCCAGGTTTTATGCATGTGTGAAGAAACATGTGCCCAAGACCCTCTCCTTTTTTTTTTTTTTTTAAACTTTTTATTTTGAGATCCTTGTGTATTGACATACGGTTTGTAAGAAATAGCACAGAGAGATCCCATGTTCCTTTTACTCAGTCTTCCCAACGGTAACATCTTGGAGAACTATAATACAATATCACAACTGGGATACTGACAGCGACGCAGTCAAGACACAGAGCATTTCCATCACCACAAGGACACCTTCTTGTCCTTTTATAACCACATCAACTTGCCTCCCACTCCACCTCAACCCTGGCAACCAAAATTTTATCTCTTATTGCTAAAATTTCATCATTTCAGAATTATTATATACATGGAACCGTACAGCATGTGACTTTGGGGACTGGCTTTTCTCCTTTGGCATTATTTTCTGGAGGTTGACATGTGAGCCAATAGTTCTTTTTTTTTTTTTTTTTTAAAGATTTTATTTACTCATTTGAGAGAGAATGAGATAGAGAGAGCATGAGAGGGGGGAGGGTCAGAGGGAGAAGTAGACTCCCTGCCGAACAGGGAGCCCGATGCGGGACTTAATCCTGGGACTCCAGGATCACGACCTGAGCCGAAGGCAGTCGCTTAACCAACTGAGCCACCCAGGCACCCGAGCCAATAGTTCTTACCTTGATATTACGGAGTTGTATTCATGGTAATGATGGACCACAGTTTATTTAAGGACATTTGAGTTCCTACTGGTTTGGGACTATTATGAATAAATCTGCTATAGACATCTGTGTACAGGTTATTGTGTGAACATGGAATTAATACAGCAGAGTCTCAGAGAGGTTAGACTCAGACAGGTAGAAGGGCTCTGGCTGTGGGTGCCCTTTCCTGATAGTCTCCATAGACCTGTGGATCATCAGGTTGAAATGGATAATAAACCACCCCTGACGGATGTTCACCTGAGTGCCACCCTTTTGCCAACCTCAGGTCTATATTAGAATTTTGCCTTCTCTGTAACTCCTGAATCCATCATCACTCGTGGTGCCATCATTAAACTTGTCCCACCATCACTCCTGGTCTTAGCACCTTTCCTGCTCCCACCAGACTCCTCCAGACCCCTCAGCCCTTCTGGTCACATCCTCATTCTTGGTCCCCTCATCTCTTCTGGTCCCATTCTCACTCCTAGTCCCATTGTCCCCCCTTTTCCTACCGTACTCCTACTCCCATCATCAATCCTGGCTTCTCTGTCACCCCTGGTCCCATCATGACCCCTGGTCCCATCATCCCTCCTGGTTCCACCATCAATCCTAGTCCCATCATCACTCTTGGCTCCTCTGTGATTCCTGGGTGCATCATCCCTCCTGGTTCCACCATCAATCCTAGTTCTGTCACCAATCCTGGCTCCTCTGTCATTCCTGGGTACATCATCACCTCATTCCCCATCACTCCTGGTCCCACCATCAATCCCGGTCTCACCATCAATGGTAAACTCCTGATTCTACCATCAATCCTAGCCCCATCATCACTCCTAGTTCTTCCATTGTTCTTGGGTACATTATCACTCTTGGTCCCACCATTACTCCTGGCTCATCTGTCATTCCTGGATGCGTCATTTATCCTGGTCCCACCATTACTCCTAGACCCATCATCAGTCCTGGTCTCACTGTCACCTTCCTGGCCTTACCATCACTTCCAGCTCTTCCTTCATTTCTGGGTGCACCATCACTCCTGGTCCCATCATCGTCCTGGATCCCATTATCACTCCTGGTCCCATCATCATCTCTGGTCTCACTATCACTCTTGCTCCCATCATCATTCCTGGATCCTCTGTCATTCTTAGTTCTTCCATCACTCTTGGCTCCACCATCACTCCTGGTCCCAACATCACTCTTGGTCCCATTATCACTCCCCAGTGCATCATCATTCCTGGGTGCATCATCATACCTGATGCCATCATCACTCCTGGTCCCACCATCACTTCTGGTCCCATCATTCTTGGGACCAGTCACTCTTGGGTGCAACATCACACCTGGCTGTATCATCACTTTTAGCTACTTCATCAGTCTTGGATTGTCCATTGTTTCTGGCTCCTGGCTCCTCCATCATTACTCCTGGCCCCTCCATCACTCCTCCAAGTTGGTCTTGGGTGTAGCATTCCAGCTCAGAGAGGATTGCCATTACTCATCTTAACATGTGATCTTGGGAGGGCCTCCCTCCCTTGCCGGTGAGTAAGAGGATTAATGAGATAAAGTGTAAGAAAGTCCTTTGAACTCTCAGTTATCATAGATCTGTGCTCTGCTCAGATGTCCTGTGGCTCAGCCTAAGGGCTCTGTGCATGACAGTGCACACACATATCCAGGCAAATGTTAGCTGGTAGTAAAAAAGTTTCCACTGGAGCTATAGTTATGCTCTTCTCTGAAGGTGAGACCACAGCTCTGTTCAGTGAGTGTATGTTGAATACTTGGACTCTTCCAGCCTTGTGTTTCTCAATGCTGTGTGGGTGGGTCTGGGGGAGTGTGTGTGTGTGTGTGTGTGTGTGTATGTGTGTGTGTGAAAGAGAGAGAGAGAGGGGGAGGGAGAGGGGACACCCAGCCCAGGCCTCACCCACAGTGAGTCTGATTTACTTGGCCCAGCCTGGGGCTTGGCACTGCAGTTTGTCACACTCCCACGGTGATTCTCATATGTGACTGACAATGAGCCTCATGTCCAGTGTCACCACAGGAGCCAGGAGAAGTGGTGCTTGGTGGGTTCCAATCCCTGGTCTTCCTCCTGGTGCAGATTCACTGGCAGCCTTAGGGATGCACTTCGTCTCTGCCCTGCCCTTCCTGCTTTTGAAGGTAAGAATATTCAAGCTGAACACTGCACATCAGAGAGACTTTGCTTCAAATGGGGATGCTTTAAAGGATGATGAAAACTGAGTGTGACCCGATTGCTTTCTTCTTGCTGTTCCCATTTCTGTGCTTGTTCTAATCATCACCTTTGTGTTGCTGTTATTCCTTTAAAAGCATTTTGCAGTGTATTTCAGACAGTGGGCTTTAATGTTTTGCAAAAAGACACACAAAGAGAAGGAAAGTCAAGAAGGAACACTTGAGTGGTGGACCTTGAAAATAATATCTCAATGGCAACCCTACTTGAGAACTTTAAGGACCCTGTTGTTAACAAAAGAAGGAAAGCACAATGGGATCCTTGGTGTGTCCTCCGGGATTCAAATGCCCATGCCCTCAGGATGGTGGAGATGGAGAAACGGTTTTGACACAAACAGAAGGGGTCTGCTGAGCAATGGTGAAGGCCAGTGTAAGGCAGGCATGGATTGTTTTTCATTCCCTTTCATGAATGGAGGAACTATAAGCAGAAGGGGCCAGAGGCCAGCCCAGCAAACCCTCCTCCGTTGTTTTTAAATTTGAACATTCCT